GGAAGGTCTATTTGAACAATTTATATATTCTTGGTCACCACAACGAATAGGTTGGATGCGGTGGATTCAGTTCTTTTTCAACCAGGTCGCATTGACACTGTCCTCGAGATTGAAATGACCAATGCAAATTGACGATGTGAGAAATGCGACATATACACCAAGCCGTGATATTCCCTAAAGAAACTTTTCAAGACGCTGTAGACATCAATAACAACACTCAAACTAGTGGAAGCTTTGCAAGTGCTCGAATAGAACATACTGTGCGCTTGTTAATCTAAAAAGCAGTGACAACTGAACGTGAGAGACAATGATGCCAAGTAGTTACACATGAACAACAATAAAATGATATTCTCAGCATCCATTCGTCTTTTTCACTAGTAGCGATTAGTCGTATTCTATCGTATTCTATTCTCTTTCTTTATCAAAGAACGAGCATATACGCGTCATCGTCTATTATTATTTCTTTATATACTTGAGAAAAAAAAAACATCTTTTTTTTTTCCATTTATTACTTGAATTATTAACTTGCTCGGGCTTGGTGGTAGAACCACCATGCGGCCAAGCAGGAGTCCCTCAATCTACCGCAACTGCTCTCCCGACATTCCTCAACGTCAACAACACCAAGATAAAATATCATCATCGGATCTTATTAATTCGGATCATTCTGCAAACTGTGGTCAATGTATTCATCGAACAACAAATGAAAATTACCAACACTCAAATTTTCATCAACAAAATTATTCATGGCGTTACCATCAGTCCCGTTCCTTTATGTCTCCTGTTACACCAAAAAAATTTAACTCGTTTCAAAATGTTTATCCTTTACTTTGAAATGTTACAATGAATGATTCATCTGCTGATATACATGCACGTCCATATCCATTTACAAGTGGTCGTACAAATAAAAAAAGAAAACAAAGTGATAATGAACAGCCAATAGCAGGTCATTATGATGAATCACTACTTCTTCAACAGACAAGTAATGATACTAATACACAAACAAATCGACTTCAACTAATATTCCATCAACAAAAGTTACAGATGAAGCTAAACGTTATGCTGAATCCCGTTATCCATTTCCACCATTTATTTTACATTTTACAAGA